AAATACTCAAACCTTAGGAAATGTATGTAAAGTAAATGAGAAATACTTGCTTACCAAATGTTAAAGTTTATATTCTGAAATTAAACCTGAAATTAGTCAACATTTAGATCTTAGTGCAAAGAAAAAGCATTTGATTAGGTTAAAAACAACAACTGGGATTTCATATTAAGTTAAAAAACAGCCTCAATTCTAACTCTGAATTTTTTACTATGTATTTATTCTTTGAAGCTCTGTGTCAGGCCAATTTACAGATGGTCTGGTGAGCCATAGGAAAATAACTCCACTTAGCTCATGAATCATAAAGAGTTACTGCAAATAGTTATTAATGCAGCCTCTCAAGGCATCTGCTTTACCCCAAGAGAATATTTTACCCATAAGTTTGAATCGTGCTCAAAAGCAAAATAGGTAGATTGCCACCCTGCTTATAAGTGAAGCTGCTTTATAATGAAGTCCTTTGGGTACTACATAATCTAAATTCCTCACAACAAAGAAGGATTAAAATTAATTTGATTTCATACAGAAATTCTGCTCTGTAATTAGTAGAGTTTATAAGAAGAATCATGTTCTATGGTTTCACAATTAAATACAATTGTTCAGTTCAGTTCAATCACTCAGTCATGTCCAACTCTTTGTGACCCCATGAACCACAGCACGCCAGGCCTCCCTGTCCATCACAAACTCCCAGAGTCCACCCAAACCAATGTTCATCGAATCAATGATGCCATCTAACCATCTCATCCTCTGTCGTCCCCTTCTCCTCCTGCCCTCAATCTTTCCCAGCATCAGGGTCCTTTCCAATGAGTCAGCTCTTCGCATCAGGTGGCCAAAGTGTTGGAGTTTCACCTTCAACATCAGTCCTTCGAATGAACACCCAGGACAGAGTACCCCAAAATAATAGAATTCCTTCACTTTCAAATTTTTTGGAATGCCAGCTGTTAATAGACAGAAAGAGTTTCCACATGTTCTTTAATGTACTTGAATCTTTAGTTGTATTTAACATATATTAACGAACAATGGGTTTTGCATTTTGAAAAGAACTCACTTATCTTGCATATGCCTATAGAACTAGTCCTGGATGGTTATGGAGTCTTCCAAGGACTGAAGAAGCCAAATCAAGTTCTATTCACACTTATTGAAGTACTGTTCAACCTTGTTCTAGGGATGTGGTTATTTAATTTCATTGTTTTAGGTATGAGAAATGTATTATATACTACAAGTTCTTACAATATAATTCAATGTGGCTTATTTGTCAATGATATTACAGAGAATGAGTATAAGATCACTGGATTTACAACCCTTCATAATATACACGTTAATGATAAAATAACTTCCCTAAAATGCTGAAGATGGCTGATATGTTATGCTGTCCCTGAAATATCCAGGTTAACAGAGCTTCACAGGTAGCACTGAATATAAAAGTATTCCCAGAATCCTATTTTAACAATAGGCTGTCTCCATTCCTACCAAACATGTTATTTATGGAAGATCAAAGTGTTTTAATTTCTACATTTTCCCCCTATGAAATTTCTGGTAAAGATTGTACTATCTAGAAGATAAGAGCAAATTGTAGTATTGAAATGATCACTATACTGGAAATCAGAAAATGTGAGTTCTAATCAAAGCTCTGCTAAGAATTGGCCAAAGGAAAGTCAATACACAGTGGTCCTTAGCTTCTCATTTTGCAAAATAAAGGGCTAAAATTAAAATTTCCTTAAAGTCTCACTAGGCCTAAAGCAATACAGACTGATGTTTAAAAGAGTATCCTTAATGGTGTATAAATTTGGGCCAATAACGAACTTTTTGTGCCTTAGTTTCCTCTTCAGAAAAATCAAGATAACAATAACATCCACTTTAATGGATTATTGGGAGTTACCAAAGAGTTAATATGTGTCAAGAGCTTAATATATTCTCAATAATAATGATGGCAATGATGAAGATGATGATGACAGTGGTGGTGGTGGCAGTGATGGCTATAGTTTTATGAACTGAGCATTATGAAAGAAAATGGAAGGTAAAAATATTTGGATCATCTACAAACTATAAAATTCTATAAAATATAAAATGTGATTACATACAGTGGCCAAAGAGAATTAAAGTTGAGAAAATTCGCAATGTAAGTCTCATCGATGTTTATCATTTTTAAGGCAAGTGAGCTTAAGGTAACTGCCTTAGACACTTAATCATTAGATAAATAAATCCCTGATTCTGTTAATTGTTTTAAATACAAAATTAATGAAACTTAAATATCTGAGTTCAAGAAGAAACACTGAAAAAGAGTCAAATAAATTTTTTCACTAGACATAGATATTCTTTGAGAGTGATACTGCATGTATTATTCCTTGCCTTACTCTTATCTGGGCTTCCCCTGTGGCTCAGCTGGTAAAGAATCTGCCTGCAATGTGGGAGACCTGGGTTCAGTCCCTGAGTTGGGAAGATCCCCTGGAGAAGGGAAAGGCTACCCACTCCAGTATTCTGGCCTGGAGAATTCCATGAACTCTATAGTCCATGAGGTCACAAAGAGTCAGACAGGACTAGGCATCTTTCACTTTCACTTTAGTCTTACCTAGTGATATCCCTCATACATGTTTCTCTCACCATCCTGACTCAAAGACAGAAGTTTCTCAGTCATTTGGTCATAAAATGTTAACCTTTAAAGAGTGGGAATCTTATCAAAATGAGTTATAAAAACATGAGACTAGTCTGTAGTACATGTAAACATGAGTCAAGTGATCTGCCTTGTATTTCTCCCCATTTTACCTTACTCTGATACCTTTGGTCAAAATTCTACATTACTCTGTGTCCATCTAAGTAATTCTTAAAAGTGACAAGAATACTACATATCCCTTTCCTACATTATTCAAAGAAAATCAAGAATTTGTAGTTGATTTCTCACCTTCAAAGATCCATTTTCCCTTAGATAAGTCATATATTGTAATTCTTCAAATCATCAAAATGAAGTCTTCCTGGTACCTTTTTCACTTTCTCTTTTTCTCTCTCCAGAACAGAGCCACCATCAGATACTATATTGTGAGAAATATTTAGTCACATAGTCATAATAATAATAATAAAGACTCTTCACAAGTCAACAGAGTAATTTGTGTATCACCTGGGAATGAAGTTCCTAAACCAAGATCCATAATCCCTTTGCCTAGATGGCTAGCAATTTTGTCCTTGAATTTAGCATGCCCATCTGTTTCCCTTCTGTTTTTAGGGCCTCCTTTCTTATTAGAGTAGCTGTTCCCTGGAAAAGTCTAGTTAGTGACTGACAACATAAAGCAACTTAGGCAAGCCTCCAGGAAGTACTATTTTGCCAAAAGAGAGTGAAACTCTAGCTTGGTGTTTTCCACCTCAAGCCCATGTCCCTGGGAAACTGTGAGGGTGTAAGATTAAAAGTCACTCTCATTAGATTTGCAGAAATTCTCTAGTTAATGACTGACTGGGGCTATTTTCAACATCATGAGAGCCATGCACACCAACCAATAAGAAATGAGAGGGGATGGAACAAAAGGGTAAAGGATACAGTTACTTCCAATGAAAGATATGGTGGTTTTGAAAACAACAAATTCGATCATACTCTTCATGGAAAGGCAAATCAAATGTGTTTGTTTTAAACTCTTTCAAACACATTTTCTGCAGTATCTCCCAGTTCCAGTAGATAAAATCACCCTTCAGCAAAATTATTAATAAGTTTGTTTGTGGAAATCTAATCTCTTCTTTTGTTCATCCAATAAGCAAGGATAAACACCTTTTCTTTTTAAATTTACTGTAAGCTGCAGGCAGATATCCAATTGTGTTAAAATTCTGTGTGAGATAAGAGTAAATTGGTTGAAAGTGAGGGCCTGAATTGTTTTCCTGCAAATAAAGTACGTAAATAGACTCAGTGACTTCTATTTTGGGCACTCAAAGTTTATTTTTACTTATTGAATGAATGTTGTTTTTCAAAATTCGAGATTCTTCAATTAGCTGTTGTGGCTAATGAGCATGTTTGCCATTGCCTTACAGCTGTGCAGTCATCTCCATATTTAGTATATCTGTCAGAAAGTATGAACATTCAGGGCAAAGGCTCTGCCCAAGGCAATTGACCAAGGTCCTACTCAGCACAGGCCATAATGCACATACACTCTTAAAGCCAGGTAAAAGCAATAAAAGAGAGTTAAAACAACAAAAACAACAACTCAGATTTGTTGAAAGATGAAATCCATATCTCCCCACTTGGTAGAGGTCCCCTGAGAGCAAAGACCTTGTATTGCAGACACTGAATACAGTTCCTAGCACATTGTATACTAGTTACCTTAATCGTTACTTGTTGACAATGAATTAATAAAGGAGAATATTTTAATCCACTCATAACCTGATACAGCATGATGTAGTGGATAGTTTACTCACTTTCTGAGTGTTTCATCATCAGTAAATGGAGTAAACAGATTTAATTTATAAGGCAATTGTAAGGAGTAATGTAAAACACATGTGCTCATGCAGGACCTAGCTGAGTGTAGTTACCATTTGTTGAACTAGAATCTTTGACACTTTTTAAATCAATTAATAAGCAAGGAAATACATGAATTCCACTTATTGCAAGAGTTAATTTGTATCAGAACAGCCAGCCTCAAGAAGAGGTGGTGGACTTTCCCTTGACATGTGGAATATTTTTATGTAGTCTTCATTCTCTAGACATGGAGGCTGAATTTTTAACAGCAAAGGATTTGATGAGAAAAACTTGCTGTAGTCCAGAATCTTAAATTCATTTATATGCTCCCTAGGCTCTGGGGCACTGAGTCATTCAAGCACAACTGACCTTTAGGTCTGTAAACCCAGTTGGACCAGCATCCTCAACCCTGCCCAGCTGAGAAACTGCTTCAATGAATCTATACAATCAGCATCCTATTGCAAGGACCTGAAGGTCCATTTTGGAGTGTACAAATCTCTTCTTTCTCTTTCTTTTTTTTTCTTCTAGACAAAATTTTTATTTTAACTGACTCATTTGAATCTGCATCAGGGAAATGGTAAGTGAGATAAAGAAAATGATATCCAAGATCTAATTTATGAAATCCTAACTATTGAAATGGGTTTAGTAAGGGCAGGAATAGTTGACATTAAAACCATGGTTTCTAAACCAACCCTGTCCCCTGCTACAGTGCTGAATTGAGAGTGATTAGGACTATTCTTCTCAGATTCCAAAATAAACAAAATGTACTTTGTCCAAATTAATAAGCTAAATAATTTTATGTTCTTTTCTCTTTGACAAAAAGATCTGAACCCAAGGTTAGTGAAATAAAAATCTTGGGCAAAACAACAGCAACAAAAACAGGCAGGCAAACCAAACCAGCTTCTTGTGTGTTCCTCGCTGTGACAAAATGTTACAGTGACGAAGATGATGAGATTTATTCAATTTCCGAGGTTGATGCTCTAGAACCACTCATTTCCCATAACAAAAGAGCACTCTGTGTCCGTGACTCCAGATTTTAGTTTGGATTGTTTGGGGAGGGAAGACACAACTGCTTTAAAGAGGAACACCATGTGCTATTGGAGACAGTCAATTACTTGTCTCTAAGTAACTTACAGAATATTCTACAACTCTCACTGGTATTCACATAAAGCATTGTTTGATGGCAGTCAACCTATTTCTTTTGTTGGAACAGGCTCTATCATGCTGTCCTATGGCTTAATATGATTTTTGCAGGCTTCCAGGAATTGTCCCCAGAGCTATGTCTCAAAAGCAATAGAAAAATAGCTTTTTTTGATGTGACTGTTTTTTTTTTTTCATTTTAGAGCCACCAAAACACATTATGGATAGCAAATAACTTTTAAAAGAATTCTCTGCCTCTCCCCCACAAAGTTATTAGTACCAACTACAGATACAGGGAAAAAAGAAATCAGAAACAGTGAGATGGACATAGAGTGGGTATTTTTGTCATTGCAATAAAATGGAGCACCGAGGCATGTAATAAAAGAACAACTGCTTCTGATCAGCACCACTGATCCCCCAGAGCCCCTTTTGGACTCAAAAATACTCAGGGTTGGCCTCCTTCAAAGTATGTGGCTACCTAATATGTAATTTTGGAGAAGGAAATGGCACCCCACTCCAGTATTCTTGCCTGGAGAATCCTGTGGACAGGGGAGCCTGGTGGGCTGCTGTCCATGGGGTTGCACAGAGTCAGACGCTACTGAAGCAAATTAGCATGCATGCATGCATTGGAGAAGAGAATGGCAACCCACTTCAGTGTTCTTGCCTGGAGAATCCCAGGGACAGGGGAGCCTGGTGGGCTGCCGTCTATGGGGTCGCACAGAGTCGGACACAACTGAAGTGACTTAGCAGCAGCAGCAATATGTAATTTTAGGAGTACTTACAGTTTCTCTGGTCCCCAAATATTCACATTGTCAGTTTTCATAGTTTTAAGATTCCATTGGTGAGGTTTTTATCTTTGAGGTTCTTTTTTTTTTTTTAAGATTTATTTATCTATCTATTTTTGGCTGTTCTGGGACTTTGGTTTTAAGGGGCCTTTTCTCTAGTTGTTCCAGTCAGGCCTACTCTCTAGTTGCAGTGTGTGGGCTTCTCACTGTGGCGGCTTCTGTTGTTGTGGAGCACCAGATCTAGGGTGTACAGACTTCAGCAGTTGCAGTGCATGGGTTCAGTAGTTGTAACTCCTTGGCTTCAAGGCACAGTCTCAATACTTGTGGCCCACAGGCTTAGTTGCTCCAAGGCAGATGGAATCTTCCAGAAGCAAAGATCAAACCCATGTCCCCTACACTGGCAGGCGGATTCTCAACCACTGGACCACCAGGGAAGCCCCTTCCTTGAGGTTCTGAAGTATGGCGTGTTCGCATAATGATATTTCTGAAACCCATAAACGTTCAGCCACCATCTAAACTTTCTGCACATCTTAGAGGCAATATCTTCTAAAGAGTGAGTTCTCTGAGGGGCCTCCTCAATCTCCAGAGGCATCTAGATCAGTGCTTTCCAACCTTGATGTACACACGAATCACCTGGAAATCTTGTTAATATACTGTTTCTGATTCAACAGGTTTGGGGGTGGGTCCAAGATTTCCTATATTCATAATAAGTTTTATGATGCAGTTGTCTCTGGTTCACAGACCACACTTGGAGTAGCAAGCTTCTAGATTCTTCCCAAGGCCTCCCAGATTGGGGTATAGGATCAGGGGTCAGCAAGCTTTTATTGTAAAAGTTCAAATTATAAATATTTTAAGTTTTGTGGGCTACAGGATCTGCACAGGAACCATTCAAGTCTGCCATATAGCAAGAAAATACCCATGGACAGAAAGGAAGGGAATGACTCTATATGACTTCATCGACTGTAGCCCACCAGGATTCTCTGTCCATTGGATCCTCCAGGCAAGAATACTGGAGTGGGTTGCCATGCCCTCCTCCAGGGGATCTTCCTGACCCAGAGACTGAACCCAGGTCTCCTGTATTGCAGGCAGACTCTTTACCACCTGAGCCACAAGGGAAGATAAATGGGCATAGCTGTTTCAGTAAAGCTTTATTTACAAAAAGAAGTAGCAAACGAGATTTGACCCATTGGCCATGGTTTCCAGACCCCTGCTCTCCTCATACGTAATCAAGGGAAAGAAAAATGTGTTCAGAATGCAGCCAAGAGAGCAACCAGGGAGCAAAATTCTGGGTTTGAATATCCTCACAGGAAGATCCTAGAAGAGGAAATGGCAACCCACTCCAGTGTTCTTGTCTGGAGAATCCTAGGGATGGGGGTCACACAGAGTCAGACATGACTGAAGTGACTTAGCAGCATCAGTGCTAAGAACCATGAAGCCAAGAATACTGGCTCTCCAAGTGATGGCAAGACAGACATGTAACTGATCTAAGCTGCAACCTAAAGAATGAGCAGTGTTGAAAGAAGATGAAAAGTGGCCCAGAAGAAGAGAAGTGTGGGCAATAGTCTGGAAGCAAAAGAAAGAATGTGTCAGGAGACTGGAAAGACATTTAGTTACACTGAGACAAAATTTAGCTAGAAAATGATGAGAGGTAAGCCTAGTGAGGTATGCAAAACCCAAATAATGAAAAATCTTACAAATAGGATGAACTTAAAATCTATTAGCCAACCAGGACACATCTGTGAGTGAAAGAAGGGCTTTTTAGTAATTATGCTGAAATAGCAGGCTAAAACAGACTATGTGGGACTTAGGGTCAGCCTACTTATAAACCATATGAAGGAAACAGGTGTGTATAGAGAAATAATGAGAAGCTGTTAAATATTTAGGGTAAGTGGTGACCAGATGTGTGTCTCAAAACAATCTCCCGGCTGCATTATAGCAAGGAGAGTGGGGTCTGGCTTTCAAAGTTATGTAATTGGAGTAATTTTAATGCACCCATGCATTAGGAGAATATTCTAAGTTTCCAGAGTCTCAGTCCTGACTGAGAGAGAGCTACCACTTTGAAAGATCAGTCCTGACACTCAGATATAGCAGTCTTCAACAGACTTGTATTTCAGTCCCATTTTTGCTAATTACTAACAATGGTATGCATTCATCAATTACATTCAGATGTGTGAGGTTTTTTCTTCATCACCAAGCAATTCTCAGACACCAGCTGAGTGCCCTACAATTCAACTCAATTCTGACACTGTCTACTGGAGATAGCATCAAATCCCACAAGTTAAGGGCTTGGTCCCACAAGACTGCCACCCCCCCATCCCCCATCTTGAAATGCCAATTCTAAATCCAGGTTGTCACCTGTACTTCTGACCCACTGCCTATGGATTGGTGGTTCTAATGATCCTTTCCTTGCATTTGATTCTACAGTGGCTCACAGTACTCAGATAGACACTTTACTCACTAGATTATTGGCTTATTATAAAAAGCTACACATCAAGACAACCATATGGAAGACAAGATACAAGGAAAGTGGGTAGAAATTCCGTGCTCTCTCTGGGTCTGCACCTTCTCCAATGCAGAAGCTCTCCAAACCTGTGCTTTTGGGTTTTTATGGACACTTCATTACATAGGCATGATTGACTAAATTACTTACACTGATGATTGAACTCAATCTCTAGCCCCTATCTCCTCTGAGGTGACAGAACATGTGTGGGTATGGGGAAAGGAAAGTGAAGTTGCTCAGTCGTGTCCGATTCTTTGCAACCCCATGGACTGTAGCATACCAGGCTCCTCTGTCCATGGGATTTTTCAGGCAAGGGTACTGAAGTGGGTTGCCATTTCCTTCTCTAGTGGGTATGGGGAAGGGGACTGAAATTTCCAACCTTCTAATCACACAGTTAACTCCACTGGCAACCTGCCCCATCCTCAGGTGCTTTCCAAAAGTCACTCATCCACATAACAAAAGCCACTTGTATTGCTCTCATCACAGGAAATTCTAAAGATTTTAGGAGTTTTGTATCAGGAACGGGGATGAATGTCAAATACATATTTCTTATTTTAAGTCACAAAATAACATTAGTTCTGCGTGACCTCAAGAGAGTTGGTTAACCTAATTGGCCCATTTGTAAAATGGGTAAAATAGCAACTGTCTTCTAAAATTGTGTGAACATTAGAAATTGTCCATATAAAGTGATTAACACAAAGACAATATATAATATGACGGAAACAGTAGTTGCAGGAGTAGCAATACTTGTTGTAGGGGTACTTGTAGTGTAGATACTGCCACTAGTAGTATAATAATAGGAGTGGTAGTAGTCATAAAAGTAGTAATAATAGTAGAAATAGAAATAGTAGTGAAGAATGAGAAAGACATACCTGAGTAACAGAGAATACTGGAATCTGGGGGAGTGGGCTCCATAAGGAAAAAGTAATATTGGGATAAAAGAGCAAGGTAACTGACCTACTTATTTGTCTGTAGTGTCAAAGATGTGGTTGACTGACAGCTCATTAAAGTTGACATATGGTCTTGTCCCGTCTACCCTTTTCATGGTGCTTAACTGAGAGGCCTGTTTACAGTGAATGCTTGGTAAATGTGCCTGTTGAATTCAACTAAACTAAATTTGCCCTTGGAAAACCACAGTTGACTTCCACACCAGCATTTTTGGAAGTGGAGCCAAGGTAGGGCCCTAGAATATCATGGGCTTTCTGATGCAGACTTGTGTCCTACAGTGGAGAATGGCAACCCAGTAGGCTTGGGGTGGTGGTTCACAGATGTGTTTTATTTCCAACTTTACTTGAAGAATTGGAAGATGCAGCATCACTGAACCAGCCCAGGATTAGGTACTTTGGGAAAAACTAGCAGCTGCTTCACTTTATGGTATATTTACATCCCCCACCACCTGGCTCCAGGCTTACGGTCAGGGGCTTGTAAACTCAGGTGCCTAGAGGAAACAGGCAGATACAGAGAGGAGCGAAGCAAGCCAAAACGGGACCTTAGTGCCTGGCAGGCTGGAGGAACAGTGCTCCACCCAAATCTGGCAGCTTACACTCGGATCCAATCAATTAATATCATTTGAGAATAAAGGCCCAGAGTTTCAGTATTCTGTTTTCCAAGAGTTTACGATCCAAATTTTATATTGAAATTTTCACTTTTTTTTTTCATTATTTATTTGCTGCTACCACCAAGATCTGCACCCGTGGCCACGCCACCCGGGTCTACACCCTAGGCTTCGCGGCTCCCTGCGGCTCCCTCCCATCCCCGGAGTCTCAGCACAGCGGGGGCCGCGGCGGCGGCGGGAGGGCGCGCACAGGGGCGATGCCTGCACACAGCTGCAACGCGAGGACCCCGCGTGAGGCCACCGCAGCATGGTCAGGCTGCGCCCTCCTGACCATGTTGCGTTCTCTCGACTGCCAGCCTTGGCAGGTATGGGCCGCAGGCTCCAGATTCAACCATTTTCGGGGCGACTTGACTCGGCAGGTGAGTTGTTACACATCGCCCTATCGAGGGTGGGATTGGGTCCCGGTTTGCTGGGGCAGAAACCGTGAGGGTCAGGTCTGAGGAGGCTGTTTCCTTTAAACGTGCTTTCTCCCCTCTTCCAGCACCGCCACCATCACCCCCGAGCAAGAGGGGCCGGTGTGGGTGTTCAGCATGGGTTAGGGTGCAGACTGTGGTGTCCGGCTGGGGTCAGAGTCCCAGACAGGGTTTAATGGCTGCCTGTGGAAGCACCAGTAAAAGCTTCCCCTGCCTTGCTCAGACGCTGCTTTGAGTCCGAGCCTCTGCCTTCTCTCACAGCTGAACTCTGCCTTCAGTCTATGCCAGCCCTGCCCTGGTTTGGAGCTGCGTTTCGCTAGGCAGTCACGGCCTGCGTGGGCTCGTGGGGTAAGGTTGGAAGGCAAGCTGTGGCAGCCTGGCCATAGACAGCTCAGGGATGCTTCAGAGGTGTCCCCTGTTGTGAGCACCCCAAAGGCTGCCTCTGCCCTAGTCAGATGTAGCTTTGGGTTTGAACTGCCTCCTGGTCTCACAGCTGAGCCTTCCCGTTGTGGAACACGTGAGGCAGGAGCGTCTGCTGGTCTCAGGCTGGGCTGCACACCAGGGCAGGCCCAGGAAACTGGCCAGCCGCCTCGGCACTTTTCAACCTACCTTCCCTGCCCTGCTTCAGGAGCGAGCAAGTGTGTGCTCAGGAGTAGAGTCCCAGGCTTCCTACAGCCCCCCGAGCAGCCAAGGGGTCTCGGAAACACAAGCAGCTTGTGTTTCCTGCCTCAGTCCCCAGGACTGGGGTCTCACATTCACTCCTCAGGGAGGATCTCCACGATTTCCCTTTTCCTCTGGGTCCCCGCCAGGGGCACAGGTCCCTTCCCTTCCTGCCGGATTCCACGTGGACCTGTCTTACAGCTTTGGTGTAGATTTTCTGCCAATTTTCAGTTAATATTTTCATTGAGAATCATTCCATATGTAGATGTAACTTTTATGTGCTTGTAGGGGAGGTGAGATCCGCGCCTACTCCACCATCTTGATCTCTCTAGATGCAGTTTCTTATATTCTGGTCAGCTCTTGTAGTATCTCTGTCAGCAGCACACTTTTTGAGATTTTTCAGGAGAAGAGAAAAAGTCATGGCAGAGAGGATAAGGTGGTGTTAGGGATGAGGTGAGGGAATCTGGTATACCATGATTTAGAACATTTTGTAAGCAGAAATATTAAAACATTGCTTCCTCCAGGAAGAGACTTCTCAATTTGATATGATTTCCCTTTGTTGTTGTTGTTCAGTTACTAAGCCTTGTCAGACTCTTTGTGACCCCATGGACTGCAGTACCCCAGGCTTCCCTGTCGTCCATTATTTCTCAGAGTTTGCTCAAGTTCATGTCCATTGAGTTGGTGATGCTATCTAACCATCTCATCCTATTCCATGATTTCCCTTACTCTCATATATTGTGGGAATTCAAACAGTGATTTTTATGTGAAGTTTTCTGATACATTTGAATGTCTAAACTTATTTTAATAAATTTCTCTTTTAAGATAATTTGTTTGAAAGTTCATCACTGATTTCTTTCTTTCTCTCATTCTTTCCTCTTCCTAGATAGAATCACAGTGGCATCTTAATTTTTCTCTCAACCAATGTTGGCTTACGTCTCTCTATTAGACTCACTTATTTTATTGCTTCTGTAAGCTAGTTCAAAGCCATGTGAATCCTCTATCACCAAATTGGGCAACTTGAAACTTTCTTTTTATTGGAGTGATGAGTTTGGATATAGGAACTCCAAGAGTTCCCTAGGTGGTACTTTATTCTAAAGACAAAGTTTCTACCCTCAGCTTCTTAATTATGGAAATATCTGTTAGGTATAACACTTTGGTAGCAAGTATGAAAAATGAGCTAAATTTAAAAGTTGTATTTATTGTCACTATAACAGAATGTCTCAGGCATCCAGTGCAGAAAGGCTACTGGGCTTCAGGAGAAGACAAGAACGAAATACTGAAAATCTTTCAGTCCCTTCTGTCTTAGCATCTCTGTGTGCATCTGTTTCCTTCTTATTTCTCTTTGCAGCTTGCTTGCTTTGCCTCTCCAGACCACAGAATAGACAGCCACCACCCCCAGCTCCTAGGTTTGCAGATTCTCATTCAATCTATTCACAGAAATGAGCTTGCTGTCATTATCATAAATCTGAATTCCAGAAGAGAGCATCTGATTGGTTTCTGCCTGGTCCCATTTACCATATTCAGGTGGCTGAGTCACACCAAATAGACATGGCTGCAACTCACGTGAAGGAGATTTCCCAAGACAGTGCAGGATAATTTAGCTTATGTGCTCAGTGTATACCCCAAAGTATGACTCAATGAAAACAAAAATCTCGCTTAACCAATGAGGCCTACCAAACAGGCAGTGTAATATAGTATATTTGTTTCAAACTTTTGTATCTAGATAGCACCATCACAATTTTTCCATTTCCAAGTGACAGCTATCCCATTATTTACTTATTAATCTATTTCTTAGATCAAATTTAATATACCATATTTGCCTGTTTCTAAGCAATTTTCTAAGTTTCAGGGCTGGTGTGTTTTATTTTTTCTGTTATTTGTTGATATACATCTATAACTACTAAATTAAGCAGTTAAAATGGGGAAAATTTTTTTCCCAGATGGTCCACTAATGACTGTCTCCTCTGGCCAACCTATTTATACTCCTAACTAGGCACCTCAGATTCACCCTTGTCCATTTCCAACCCATTATCCATATTGCAAGCTGAGTGATCCTTTGGACACACATGTGTGATCATGCTGCCTCCCCTCCCCAACTTAAAATGTCTGGTGGCCTTCCTTATTCAGTGAATGGCAACTCCATTCAGCCTGTGGTTCAGGTCAGGCCCTTGGAGTTATCCTTGACTCTTTTTCTTCTCCAACACTCTTTATCCTATTTTCCGTGTATCATGTAGTAGGCTCTATCTTTGAAACACACCCAGAATCTGACCTCTCCTCACCGCTCTGACTGCCACCGTCATCAAAGCCACCATTGGTTTTACCTGGGTGATTAATCTAGAGTCCCAACTGTTCTTTTACCCTTCCCCTCTTACAGTCTATGCCCACAGAGCCGCCAAGGTGATCCTTCTAAAACAGAAGTCATATCATATTAGTCTTGTGCTCAAAATGCTCCAAGGACTTCCCATTCCATTTAGATTCAAAGTCAAGGACTGTACTTCAGCTCCAAGACCCCATTACGTGCTCTCTCTAAGATCTCTTCTAAAATCCTCACTCTTTCCTTTGCTGGCTGTTCCAGGAACACTGGCTTCTCTGCTGTTTTAAGTATTTCAAGTACATTCCCATCTCAGGACCTATGCCTGAGCTGTTTCCTCTTCTTAGAACACTTTTTCTTCTTATAGCTAAGTGTTTTTCACCCTTGTATCTTTTGCTAAACATTTATCATAACAACAAAAAAACCTTTCTTTGTCACCCTTTGTATAATAAAATAAGACTTTGCACCACTGTTATTTTGTCCCCTTTTCCTTCTTCATTAATTCTCATGGTACCTATCACTACTTTACACATTACACTTTATTTCTTTATTATCTCTGTCTCCCTCCTCATGTAATCCCCATGATGGCAGAGATCTTACGTTCATCGTTCAAACTTCGATGATCAGAACAATACTTGTTTCTCATTGGATATTCAAAAAAGATGGTTGAATGACTAAATCAGTGATGTAAGAATGAATGAATAAAGAAATGAATAAATGAACATAACCTTCATAGTTTCATGGTCTACCTTCAAAGTACACCTCCAGTCTTCTCTCTCACCGTGACTCCTCTCCTCCACACTCTAGCTTTTAACTTCTGAAACATGCCATGTTCCCTTCTGCACCAGGACCTTTTACTCATTCTATTGTGTCTGTTAGGAATATACTTTCCCTTCATCCCTCTTTGCCTGCTTAAATGTCAAAGAAGAGTTCTTGTATCTATGGGCAGGCCAGATTCTCTATTATATGTTCTCACAGCACTGTGTACCTTTGGGTCACTTGTCACAGTTCTAATCCTACATTTATTATTTGATTGCCTCTCCATGAGAGTAGGATAGAGTCTTTCCCATCTGTTGACCAATAAATATTCATTGAATAAATAAATTAATGCAGATTCAGGTCCTGGTAATAATTCTGTAGGTAATTTTCTGTGTAAATCTGGACAAGTCACTTTCTTTCTCTGACCATCAGTTTCCCTAATAGTAAAATGGAGAAGCTGGTCTATAAAAGGCCCTGTCCAGTTTTCCCTTCTGTCCCTTTGATTTTCTGTGGATTTGAAGGTAGCCATGTTCAATACATGCCTTCTCTGTAGGTGAATGAAATCTAGTGAGTTAAGAATACATCCTACATGTTCATTGAAGCAAACTCTGCTTTCTTTGTTCTTGAGCCCAAATCATTTTATAGGAAAAATTTATTCCCTTGGAGTTCTTTTTGTCTTCTTTATTTTGTTCTCTGATCCTTTCTACTGGGAGGACACAGTTATCATGAAGCCTGTCCAACAATGAGGAAGTAAGTTGAGTTATGGAAGAACTCTGCTAGAATTCTCCAGCAATCCTGACTCTTCCCATGAATTATGCTGCTTCTTGAGAGTGTGTTAACTCTTCTATAGGGTTTGTCTGTTAACTCATTTATCTCAACATAAGAATGTTGAGACTGCTTTAGGAGGCTTATTGTGGGATAAAAGAAGGGACTGTGGCCCTGTAGATATGAAGCAAGCCCCAGATAAACATTTATGAAAGGATAGTTTTCCAATTAAAGCCTTTTAGCTCCTATATTGAAGTTGTCTTTACATTCCCTGTTTGATCTCTGAGAATTGCAGAATTAACAATAAAGGACCTTATTCAATATAAGCCCCTGAGTCTGTGGATGAAAGAACTGAAAACTAAAAAAAAACTGACTGAGTTGTCTAAGGTCACAGAACTACTTAAATGCAGAACTAGGATTAAAATCTAAATCTGATTTCTGGTCTAGTGTGTTCCTAGGAACACTTAGGTTACTAGGAAACTCTAGGGACCTAAACATCAGTTACCTAAGTTGATGAGGTGGGCATGACTAAGTTAATGCAAATCAGCACTCCCACCACTGAACTCAGCACTGAATTTCAAGGCCGACATCACAGCGTGGGGTGTTCAATTATCTCTATTTTTAAGTATTCAACAGTAAGATTGTATTACAGACCAATCTGGGCCTGGTGGAGGCAGAGTATAAGTACCCAAAACCCCTTCATTTCAAATTAAATGTAAATTCACTCTATTTTTCTTTAAGGTGGCTCTTTGCTTTAGCTAGAACTTTCCCCTCACAATTGAAAGCCTTTCTTAGGAGGCTCCTACATGCAAAAATGTTGCCTTCAAGGCCAGGTGGGTCAGAACCAATTGCCAGAGGCAAAAGATGTATTTAATTATAAGGTTTTTGTTTCATGTGGGAGAGCAATCTAAGGATGTGGTGAGTGGCTTTTCTTTGAGTACCTATGAAACTCCAGGTAGCACTTGATCAAGTGTATCTAGAGTATGTCGCTGAAAAGGGCTCAGTGTCTTTTTGATGCTGGGAAAGCATAGTCTGAAGGCAGACTCTGGAACCCTGTCCTCACATCTCCACGTTTTTTTGCTGTGTAGCCTTAGGCAAGATACTAAATCTCTCTCTGCCTCAGTTTTTAGATATCAAGTGGAGATTAAAAGTGTGAACCTGGGAGGATTGTTGTGAGTTTTAAATGAGTTAAGACATGCTTTGGACCATGCCTGGCACATAAAACATATTCACTACTGTTTTTATTATTATTTCTTGTCTTGGAATCACATCAGTGAAAGGTGGGTGATTGCTAGGAAAAGACTCTGCCCAGAGACCTGCATGACAGCAGATGCCATGTGGGAGACTCTGAGGATCCATATACTCTTCACTGTCCCCCAGTGTTGGCAGAGGCTTTGTTGGGCCTGCGTTGTTTGACTTCTCCCTCTGCCCATCCTATCTTCCTCTCCCTCCTATCTTCCTCTTGCCTCACACAGAAGTTGGATAAATACTCCATTTATTTGTAAACTCCATCTCAGCATCTGGAGAACACACCCAGTGAAAACTGACTTGCAAAGGGTGTTAGTGACATATGGTAGAAAGAATTTGGGAGCAATGACAAAATATAAAAATACGGAAAAACATTTGAATTCTCAGGGTTTCAGTTTCCTTATCAAATGGAAATTAGGTAAATGAAGGTAACTATCCTTAACATGCACTGTATTATGAAGATTAAGGGAAAGAGTAAAGGGCCAAGTCCCTAGTAGTGAATGTTTGAATAGTTAATTTGAAACCCTTTATTTTACCCTCTGTTTTCTTCAATTTACCTTTCCCACTTCCTTTTCCTAACCCAGTTGTTTTTGCTGTTGTCTCATATATTCCTTTTCCTCTTTGTTTTCTGTCTCTTCACTTGTCACCCTCTTTAATATTTTATTTAGTCTTTAATCAGTGTTGTTGAGGTCCATTTTATACAAAAGGCATACATTTTAACTCTTCAGGTGATGAATTTTGAAAAGTGTATACACATGTGGACCCAACATCACAATGAAGATACAGAACGTTTCCATCATCACAAAAGGTACAGTACATACTTTTTTTGTCTGGCTTTTTTTTTCTTGACATAATGTTTCTGGGATTATCCATGTTGTGTGTGCACCGTAGTTTGTTCCTTTATGTTGCTATGCAGTAGTCTATTTGTGAATGTATTGCAGTGTTTCTGCATTTATCAGATGTTGGGCATTTGACTGTTTCCAAGTTTTGGCTACCATGAATAAATCTGCCATGAACACTTATGTACAAGTCTTTGTGTGGATATAAGTCACCATTTCTTTTCCAGTAGAACTGCTGAATCGTATGTTAAGTGTATATTTAACTTTATGAGAAAATGCCAATATCATGTTACATTCCACCTAAAAAAGTATGCATGTTTCAGTTGCCCCACATTATCTCCAGCACTTGGCATTCTCAGTCTTTTGTAACTATGCTAATAGACATGAAGTAAAAGTATCTCATTGTGATTTAATCTGCATTTCCCTGATGACTAATAACGTTTCACGCTTTAATGGCCTTTTGTGTGTGTTTTGTGATTGGTCTGTTAAAACATTTTTGCCGGGTTTTAATTGTTTTTTTTATTACTGAGTTGTATAGTTTTGGGCATGTATTTTCAGTGTAAATTATTTCTCAGATTATGTAATATAAATATTTTATCCCAATTTTTGCCTTGTCTTATTCAGATCATTTTTCAGAAAAGTTTTAAATTTTGATGAAGGCCAATTTATTATTTTTTCTTTTAAAATGCTCTTTGTGTCCTATTTATAAGATCTTTTGACTACTCCAAGGTTGCAAAGACTCTCTTATATATTTTCCCCTAGAAGTGGCATAAGTTTTACATTTTTACATTTCCCAATTAGTCTGATAGTCCATTTCAAGTTACTTTTTATTTTTTTTTACATGATATAAGGTTCAAGTCTCATTTTTTTCCAAATTGATATCCAGTTCTAGTACTGCCTGTTGAAAAGTCTTCTTGTCCTCCATTGAATCATTTGGCACCTTTGTCCAAAATTGTATGACTGTATATATATGTGTGTGTGTATATATATATATATAGAGAGAGAGAATCTATTTCTGTTCCATCATCTGTATGTCTATCTTTATGTCAGCAACAAATTCTCTTGATTATTGTGACTTTTTAATAGGCTTAAAATAAGATGTGTATATGCCCTCAAACTTTGTTTTTCTTGTCCCAATATAGTCTTTTGGCTGCTTTAGGTTCTTTGCATTTCCACACGAGTTTTAGAATCTGCTTGTCAGTTTCTACAAAAAATGCCTGCTCTGATTTTCATTGGAATTTCATTGAATCTATTTAGGGGAAACTGGCATCTTAAAAATATTGTCTTCCTGTCTCAGTATGATGTATCTCTCTATTTAGATCTTATTAATTTTCTTAGTAAGATAATTTAGTTTTTAGTGTAGACATCTTGAATGTCTCTTGAACAATTTACTCCTAAATGTTTTAGATGTTATTTAAAATGTTTATTTTTTTTAGAATTTCACATCCTAATTGTTTGCTGCTAGAGGAAAGAAATAACAACTGATTTTGTGTATTAACATTCTTTGATATTGAGATCTTGCTAAATTCACTTACTACTTACAGAAGATTTTTTATGTGGATTTCTTTATATGTTTTCGTGGCTAATAATATCATCTGTAAATAAAGACAGCTTTAGTTTTTATTTTCTAATATGTATGCTTTTATTTATTTTTGGTTTTTACACTGGCTAGAACCTATAGTACAACAATTGAAGAGAATTAGTATGAGTGATAATCCTGTCTTATTCAATCTCTTCCCATTAAGTTACTTGTAGGTTGTTTGTAAATGCCTTTCATTTGGCTTAAAAGTTTCTAGTCCTAGATTGCTGAATTTTTATTGTGAATGGGTATTCAGATTTGTCAAATACTTGTTTTTACAGCTATTGATATGATTGTGTTTTTTTTATTCTGTTAAGATAATTTCTATCAATTCATGTTTAAAATATTATACATTTCTGAAATGAGTTTGTGCAGTAATATCACTTGTCATGGTATACTAGCCCATAGACATATTGCTGGATTCAATTTGATATTTTCTGTTTGGACAGGTTTTAAATTATGTTGTTTTGACATAAGGCTATTCAAAGTTTTTTGGTTTTTTTTTTCCCCTTGAGTTGGTGTTGGTGATTTGTGCCTTTCAAGGAATATTTTCATTTCCTCTAGTTTGTCAAATCTATTGGCATAAATTTGTTGCAGTATTCCCTTACTATTCACTTTAAAAAATCTATAGTAAAATCCCCTTTCATTTCTGATATTGGTAAGTTGTATCTGCTCTCCTTTTACTTGTTCAGCTTACCTACAAATTTATCAATTTTATTGATTTTTTTCAAAATACAAGCTTTTCATTTCATCGATGGTTTTTGTTGTTTGTTTTCTAGTTCATTGATTTATACTCGTATCTTTATTTCCTTCTTTCTGCTTGCTTTTGCTTCAAACCCAGAAGGTTTGAAGAAAGTTTATAGCCTTCTTCAAATTTGGAAAAAATTTTGGCACTATATGCTTACATGTCTCTCTACCTACTCCCACTCGCCCCCTTTTTCCCCTCTTCCTGGTATTCCAATCACATGTATGTCTCGTTGGATCCTTGATGGTGGTGGTGTTACTGTTTAAAATAATAATGAAAACAATATATTTAGAGGTTTATAGTGAAAATGTTTAACAATTATGCCACAAAAGAGAGAAGAAAGGAGATAAGTTATGTTGTTGCTGCTGCTGCTGCTGCTGTCTTCTTCCTCTCTATGCTTCATTTTTGAGAATAAATATTACATTTTCTTTAAGTTCACCATATTTTTTTCCAGTTCCTAATCTGCTGTTAATTATCTCCAGCAAGGGAGATGTTATAGATGTTTTCAATGTTGTAGTTTTCACATGTTGAAGTTCTTTTTTAGTTCCTTTTTATATCTTCTATTTCCATCCTCTTTGTATTCATTTTCCTCTGATTCTCTATTCCTTTTTCTTCCTTTCCTCTCTCCCTCCCTTCCTTCTTCTTTCCTTTCTTTCTGGCTGCATGACTTGCGGGATCTTAGTTCCCTGACCAGGGATCAGACCCACACCCTTAGCAGTGAAAGTGTGAGTTCTTGCCACTGGACCGCCAGGGAATTCCCTTCCTCTGAATTCTAAAGCATAATTATCATAAGTGTCTTGAAATTTCTGTCTACTGATTCCACATCTCTGTGCAATTTCTAGATTTGTTACTATAGACTGATTTTTCTCTTGGTTGGTTGTATTTTCTCTTTTTTATACATGTGTAGTGATTTTTTTATTGGATTCTGAACATGGTAAATTTTATGTTATTTGAGAGCTGAATTTTGTTGTAGTCCTTCAAAGAGTGTTGAGCTTTGTTCTGTTAATCATTTAGGTTATTGGCAGATAAATTTGATTCTTTAAAAGGTTTTTTTTTTTTTAAAGACTTCAATAAGACACATCTAGAGTAGACTTTATAACTTTATAGCTAGTTAAGACACCATGAGGTTGCTTCTACTGTGGTTTCCATTGAATGCTTTTTCTATTTCATAGGGACTTACCCTGGCTATTTGTGAACTCAGAGCATTTCCAGTGATGTGTGAGCTCTGGGGGTGTTCTGCTTGCAACTCTCTGGCGGCTGTTCTCCTTAGAAGTTGTCCTTTACATACTTATAGAATTTCACCTTGTGAATGTGTGGATTAATACTTAGCCAAATTATAAAGGGGACTCAGTGAACATTTCTCTCTCCATTACTCTTCTCCGCATACTCTAGCTCTCTCAGACTCCCTGAACTCTAGATTTTCTCCTCTATCTAGTGAGATTGCAAGACTCCTTTGGGTTCCCTCTTTCTGTGCTAAGTTTGGGAAATTTCCTTCAGGCAGAACTGCTAGGACTCCTAGGGTTCACCTTCGTTAGAGTTTCCCGTAAATCAGCTATCAAAGTCTTGGGCTACCTGTTGTTCGTATAGTTTGCTCAAGTTTCTAGTTAACTATGGCCTGACAGTAAGTCCAAACTTTGTTTCTTCCTAATGGCTTAAAGCAGAAGTCCAAATTTTCATTTTTATCCAAGGTTATACCAGCACAGAGATTAGAGTCCATTTTCCAATGTTTTCTTATAAAGCGAAACAAAGCAGTTGCAGTCGCCTGTCCTTGACCCCAATACTCCCTCCCGAAGGCACTCACTTCCAAATCGTTCTGTTGTTTTCATGTTTACTTCCATTTTGTTTATGTTGCTATTTCTTGAGACTTTTGTTTTTAAACTCTGAATTTCTACTGTGGAATACAGAGATGTGGCTCTTTATCATATTCTTCAGCTTTACTCCATACATGAAACTTTCGCATCACTCCATCTTCCCAACAAGCATTATGCCATAATTTTGGTTGAGTAAATATTCAGTGTTTACACTGTGTTGATTTGTGGTTATTTTTATAGCTGGACCATATAACATACTATGATAATTTTTATTTATTGGACACATTTTTGTTTCCCTGGTGGTGGTGGTAAGTTGCTTCAGTCATTTTCAACCCTATTGACTGTAGCCTTCCAGGCTCCTATGTCCATGGGATTCTCCAGCAAGAATATTGGAATGGGTTGCCATAGTTGATAACTATCTTGGTTTTTTAATCACCAAAACCTCCTCTAGTTATATATTTATTATCTTGTTATGTTTAAACACTTAAGGTATTCTAGCTTTATCTTATTGAAGAAGATAAAGTTTCTAGAGCCTAATGCCTTTTGACCTGCTTTTATTTGGTCTTGTCATCCAGGTCCTTAGAACATTTTTCCTGATAGCTCCCTTTACCATAATCCTAGAGATTTCCTTTGCCTGTTTATTGGTTTAAATTCCCTGTTTTCTTCTTGGTTTACCACCTCATTTTTGGTGGATAAAATTCTCTGGTAACTACCTGAGAAAAGATACCTGAGAAATTGTTCTGTTATTTGTTTGGTTTTTGTGAAGTTGTATGCCTTTTTTTTTTTTGTATGCCTTTATTTTACCTGAATATTTGATCAATAGTTCTGCAGATT